CCCCCCCCCCCCCCCCACACACACACACACACACACAGGCGCCCCTTTTTTTTTTGCAAAAGTGTTACTGCAACGTGCCTTGCGATCGACATTCTCGTTGAGAAAAATTTAATGGGGAGGTTGGAACTAGGGTCTGATTTGTAAGTCTGCTTCCACGCTAAGATTTTTTTGTTTAATAGCAGACAAAAAAGATTTTATAAAATAGGATTGCTCAAGTTAGGAAAGTACATAGCACGGGGTAGCATTGGATATTTTCTTGTCTGCGCTTCCTGCCCTCGGCCGCCGCCGCCGACAAGCCGAGCAGACAGCATGACATCTCAGCCGAGGGACCTAAACGCGTGGCGCAGAGTCAGGAGGGGGAGGGGGGAGGGGGAAGGAGAGGCGTGGCCGCCAATACATTACCCACCGATATCAACGCCGCATCCAGAATTAATGAGCGAGCATCGAGTTAGCGCCGCCAGCGCCACGACGGGCCGATGGAACGAGTCATACTCTCCACCACCACCACCACGCCGCCTCACAGGCGCCTTATAAGCGCCTTATAGGCGCCTCATGATTATGGGCGCCACAACCATTACAAATCACAAATAATTTTAAACCAAGTAAGCAAAATTTGATAACATAATAAAGATTCAACAAGATAAATACCTTAAGAATCACATAAAAAACAAAAGAAAAGCAAGCAAACATTACTTAATGTGCACGTATTTGTGATTAGTCTCAGGCCTCTTAAGGTATCATCTTTGCTAAAAAACGAAAGGTTCATTTAGATACGAAGTGTCGCTTTTTTTACGCCGATCGTTAGCTGTTTTGAATAAACACGTTCTATTATTATAATCCTCTGAAGTATTCTGCACCTGCTTTGCTCTTTTTTTTTGCCTTATCGACCGTAAAAAAATCGCACAAAAAAAACAACATTTCTTTGTAGCCGCTCTTCTCGGCTAGCAGGAGCGCCTCCTTCACATGCGCCCGCTGCGCACCCCTTGCGCACACGCACCGCACTAAGTACCCGCGGCGCGCGGGCTTATCGCGCGGGCTCTGCTTTAGAACTTCAAACAATGAGAGCTGCCGCTGCTGCTGCTGCTGGACGCCTCGCGCCATCAGCCAGCTCGCC